AGAGCAGAGCTGGAAGGAACCTTGGAGGTCTTCTAGTCCAGCCCCCTGCTCAAGCAGGAGAACCTATACCATCTCAGACAGGTGAATGTCCAGTTTCTTCTTTAAAATCTCCAATGATGGAAAGCCCCAATTTCTGGGGGTAAGCTGTCCCACTGGTTGATTGTCCTCACTGTCAGGAAGTTTCTGTTTAATTCCAGGTTGCTTCTCTCTTTGATCAGTTTCCACCCATTGTTTCTTGTCCTTCCCTCTGGTGCTTTGGTGAACAACCTGGCTCCCTCTGCCTTGTGGCAGCCCCTCAGATACTGGAACACTGCTATCATGTCTCCCCTATTGGACTAGAAGACTTCTGAGGTCCCGTCCAGCTCTATGATTCTATGTTCTAAGTCATGTTTGACTTGATTCGAAGACTTTGCCTTCTTTTGCTTCTTACTGATGCACATTGAAAACAAACTGCCTAGTGTACCAAAGACCATGGATCTTGTTTACCTTTTTACATGACAACCCCTCAAAGCCAAAGCCAACACTGACCCCCCATTTTCTCACTTCACTTAAAAGAGAAACCCACACTCTTTCTTATAAGAACCACAATTTGTATCTGCTTAGTTTTTCTCCCAAGGAATCCATTAATATCTGGGAAATGAGCGGTTAGGATGGGGGAACTGGTAGACCAGAAGTAGCTCAATTCTGTCTCGGTTCTTTCTTTGTTATCTGTAAGGCACTCACAACTTCTGTAGTTCTTAATGTATCCTGGTTGCAGTAACGATACTTACAGTAGCAATACTTACTTCCTAACGCAGCTTCATTTGCCCTGCAAGGAAATGGGAAATTCGATTACCGCTCCCGCTGGATTATCTAATTAGACTTTTAGTAATAACAGAAAACTTAATTGGCAGATAGGCCAAGGTTCATGGTTATGTGAGATGGCTGCGTGTTCATGTATGCCTGCTCGTAAGAGAATTTTTAAGGACAGAATTGCCCACAGCATTTTCTGTAACTAGGATGGTGAACCAGATCCCCTGCAGTAGCATAGAAATTACATGTGCTAATATACAGTATATATGTCCAGATGCAAAATGTTATGATTTACATACAAATATACCATAATATAAGAAAACCAAGATCATGGCATCTGGCCCTCTCAATTCTTGGCAAATACAGTAGATGGGGAAGAAATGGAGGTAGTGACAGATTTTATCTTCCTGGGCTCCCAGATCACCGCAGATGGGGACTGCAGCCAAGAAATTAAAAGACGCTTGCTCCTGGGGAGGAAAGTCATGGCAAATCTAGACAGCATACTAAAAAGCAGAGACATCACCCTGCCAACAAAAGTACGTATAGTCAAGGCCATGGTTTTCCAAGTTGCAATGTATGGCTGTGAAAGTTGGACCATAAGAAAGGCTGAGCGCCAAAGAATGGAGGCCTTTGAACTCTGGTGCTGGAGAAGACTCCTGCGAGTCCCCTGGACTGCAAGGCGATCCAACCGGTCAGTCCTAGAGGAGATCAACCCTGACTGCTCTTTAGAAAGCCAGATCCTGAAGTTGAAACTCAAATACTTTGGCCACCTAATGAGAAGGAAGGACTCACTGGAGAAGAGCCTGATGCTGGGAAAGATGGAGGGCAAGAGAAGAAGGGGACGACAGAGAAGGAGGTGGCTGGATGGGGTCACTGAAGCAGGAGGCGTGAGCTTAAATGGACTCTAGAAGATGGTAGAGGACAGGAAGGCCTGGAGGAACATGGTCCATGGGGTCGCGATGGGTCGGACACGACTTCGCAATTAACAACAACAAGAAAATCAAGAATTTTATGATTAAAGAAAAAATTCCCTTAAGTTTCCCAACGATGAACTTATCAGGGATGTGCACTAATGTTTAGGCTTTTTATTTCTGCAAGAACTTCCTGGCCAAAATTCAAATTAATTCTAACAGCATAGATACAGTTAAAATGCAAAATGAAAAACATTTATTATACTTTGATTGAAAAGTATAATGTAAAATTGTTACTGGCACCCAAAGACAAACGTCCACTGGCACCGTCCAATGGCCGTAATATCTGCTGG